GCGCGGTTTTCCTGTATAGTAAGTTGTTGAAGGTCCGGCACGCCCTAGGGCACAGCGGTGTAGGAATAATAATTATATACAGCTCCTGCTATTTGCTTCTCGCTTCCGGTTCAGCCCTATGAGTGGGGCCAACCGACATCCCGTGAGGCGACCAATCGGAACGTTTTTAGGGAGACTCGGGCTTTTGCTGCCTGCAAAGTTCTGGTACTGTTCTCATCAGCGCCGAGCCAAAGCTCGGTCTCTAGTTTCCGAGCTGGCCAACCAGGACTCAACTGCTCGCCAAACAACAACTTGGCTGCGAACTCCAAGTCATGCAGATTTGTCAACCCAAGCCGACGGGCATATGAACACTGTTTCCGAAACAAAAATGAATCACGTACAGGTTTGCGGACAACTTTTCGCCGTGGAAAGGTTTCTCAGCAGTTGCCTTGACCTGAGCTTTTCAACAGCTCAGCCACTGTTTATCAGCCCTGAAATAGTTCAGATGCAACCTCGGCACTCGAAGGAACGCGCTATGGAGCCGCCAAGGGCCAGGGTCCGGAATGCCCGCAGCCGAGAGGCGCGGAACCGGGTCGCTGTAACCTTAGCGGCTCGCCTTAATACCGGTAATAAAGGAAGGAGACCTGGCGATCTTTCATATGTGTTCCACCAGGCCTTCAGTTTCTCGGTTCTCTCACTCAACACGCTCCCCACGCTCCTTTCCTCTCATAACTATAGCCAGCGCCGGCATTGGGTTATTCCCGACGTATGGGAGACGTCGGACGGGTTTCCGATCGGGTTTCGTAGCAACGTTGCCGACCCATCTGATTAGACTACGAGCGGGATGCGCCTCCAATTGAGCTTGCTCGCCCTTCTGTGTTTGGGGTGCGCTGCCCAGCAGTTGTCAGATGCCCCCTCACGCGAAAATTTCTACCGGAGAGGCCAAGTTTCAGGTTCGTGCCTCGCTCGACACCGACGGAACCGAACTGCCCAAAATCACAGTTGGATGCGACAGGCTGACTTCTGAGATAGCCACCGTCATTGGCAACTATGTCTACATAGATGGAGGAGAGATTTCACAAATCTTGGACGGGAAACCGCCTGGGGAGCAGAACTATGCATCAAATTCTGGTTAGACCCCAATTTCCGGAGCCTCAGCTACTATATGCTTGGCGGTTGCACAAGCGCTGACAGTTCGTCGTCTAGTGAACTCCACAATTTCCATCGACCTCTCCAAGTCGTGGACCACTGCGGATGTCGTCTTGCGGACAATAGACAGACCATGGTACTCAAAAATGAACCAGGTCATCTGGACAGACCGTGAGGCCGGCCACTTCTACGTTTGGGGCGGCACATGGATCCGGGGGAGGAACATGACCGAGAACACGCTCTGGAAGTTCACCCCTGATGGCAAAGGCGCCGGCACTTGGGACGTCGAGCCTGCGGCGAATGCAAATTTCTTCAAAGGCCTTCACCAATCCGAGAGAAGCGTCTTTGTGAACACCAACGACACCGGTTTCGCCATCGGGGGGATCGCATCGGGCTGGACGGAAAAATACCGAGCATCGAACCAGGTGATACCGGGCATGGTCGCCTTCAACATGAAGACGAAGACTTGGCAGAACGGAACCACAGCTTTCAGCCCATTTGACACACTCCTTGGTGGCTCGGCCGAATACATCCCTTTCGGGCCCAACGGCTTGGTTGTCGTTCTGGGCGGGACGGCTCACCGAGTTGATAGTGATAAGACAGATGAGGCGACTGCCCGGCACTTCGACTTCCAAAACTTGACCTTGTTCGACCCGCAGACGAAACAGAAATACTGGCAGCTGGCGACAGGCAGTATCCCCCCGTCCCCGCGGATTGCGTTTTGCACTGCAGGCTTTCAAAATGCGGAGGGCGGCTACGAGATGTGAGTGCTGGCCTGCTCAGCATTGGAGATCCCTGCCGACCGCTAACGGGTTTCCAGCTTCTTATTTGGAGGGTCAAACGCACGCGACAGATTCGTCTACGACGACGCCTACATTTTGAGCTTACCGGGATTTGTGTGGACCAAAGTCCCAACCTCGCCAGCTGGCATGCGCAGGTCGCTTGCCTGCGTGCCCATCGGCAAGCGACAGATTCTGAGCATTGGCGGGACGAGCATCGGTGACAGCAAAAGCAAAGGATGGAACGAGCAAGATCCGGCCCCGCAGGGACTGCTTCTCTTCGACATGACCGAGTTGATGTGGAAGGATTCATATGACCCCAACGCTGCGGCGTATGAGAGACCAGCTGACATTAAGACCTGGTACAGCAATGGGTTAGTCGTGACCCTTGATCCCTTGATGGTTGATTTGCTAACAGACAAAGCTCCTTTGACGCGGTCCAATGGTCATCGGATACAGTCCGTCAGCTCTTTTCAACCGAGTCATCAGGTATGTGCTGTCCATTCAGCGGATGACTGATTAATCTTTTGCCCAAATTCCGAAGTCCTAACCCATCGTTCAGAAGACACGTCGCCTTCCCCGTCACAAACTGCCGATCCATCAACCACTGCCGACCCATCAACCAACACGCCGGTATCCCAATCGACTCCGGTGGGCGCTATTGCCGGCGGAGTCGTTGGCGGCGTTGCCGTTATAGCCATCATTGCTGCTGTCGCCTGGCTGCTCATCCGACGCCGGAGAAATACGGACTCAAACCCAGTTCCAAGGAGCGACCGTGACGATAACGAGGGTTCTTACTTCTCCGAGAACACAAACATGACACGAACGGAAATGCCGGTTCAAGAGTATTACAAGACGGGGCCGACGGAACTCAATACATATGGCGATCACGCTGAGCTCGTGGGCGGGATGCGGCCTCAAGAGCATTACAAGACGGGGGCAACTGAGCTGAATCCAGAGAGGTCACACGCTGAGCTGATGGGGAGCGCGACCTACACGCACCCACTTCTTGCTAACAATCCCAACATGGCGCCGGTCGAGATGGATGCGACCCCAACGAGGTAGAATCTGTCTTTTGCGCCATGGGTGCGACTTGGAGAGGATTGAGAACAGTGCGATGGGCATGGGACTTCTCTTCGGATTATGTACTGTTTCTGGCACATTACGGCAAGGTAATTTCAGACATGAGGCAGGGACTCAAATGTAAAGAGTTAGTTAGACACGGGAACACGCATAAGGTTTTCCGTTGCAGCCAAAGGATGATCATCTCCGCAGAGGGTGGGCTGACTGTAACTGGTCAGGATCGACTCCATGACAGTGGCAATGGAAATGACGGTGATGCAAGTGAGTAGCCGATACTGACCCTTACATATAGCTCCTCAGTCTCAGTATGTACAGCATCCCTCCCGAAGCCTTATAACGTCGTGGGTAACTAACTCTCTGATGCCCTTGATACCACTTCTTGCATCAAGCACCTCCCATCCTCCCAGCTCCCGGAATGTCTCCGCACTCACGAAGTAAGCCTCTGCACGGTCGCCTCAAAGTTGGTGTTGGCCGCCTGGGCGAAGTCATGCGACCAGTACGCGTGGACTTCGTGAATGGGGATGCTCGATGAGGGGCTGTTGACGTTGGACGGCTTAGTGGGCGAGTAGGCCATGGCCAGCCGGTTGCCGCCGCGCGGGTTCAGGTACCGCGTCGACGAGGACGACTGCCACGCGGTGCACCCCTTGCAGAGAGCCGTGAACTGCCAGTGCGTCGAGTTGGACTTGGTGCCCGTCTGGAAGAGCGTGTACTGCGCGCCCGAGTATTCGGTGGGCTGGACGTGCCCGCTGGGGGAAAGTAGATGGGCCGTCAGTAAATTATCTCGAGAGACAAGGGAGGAGGTCAGAGACGGATCTCAACTCACCTGGCCATGCGGGATGACAAGACCACGTTGTTGTTGGAGCCGCGCCACGCCACAAGCAGCGGGTTCCGCGGCATGGAACCGCCCCAGGCAAGACCAGCCCAGCCGACGTCGTTGGGAACGACCATCTGAATGACGACATCATATGCGGTGTTTTGCTGGGCCGTATCTGGGATGGCTACACGGTAGGTGATGCCGCGCCCGTCCGCCTTGTACAGCGCGAAGTTGGAAGAGAAGACCAGCCCGGTTTCCGAATCTCGGTAGATGGCGTTTGCGGTTTGAGCCGCGGCTGCGAGGGTCCCTAATAAGCAATTCCACTCTCAGACCCAGAGCTAACGAATCGATGGAGCACTTGCCTGTCCTTAGCAGGGCCGCGACGAGCCCGAGGAACAGCGTCCACAGCATGTCAGCTGGCTGTGTCAAGACCGATGGCTTCGTTTGATTTCGTCGAGCTGTCGAGAAGGTCTGATACTGCCTGAAGTGTCAGTCGACCCAATGAACATTCAGATGCTTAATGGTTAATCGTCCGACGCGGAGCGAGACAAACGTACCCGGGCGTGCTCTGATGACTCGGAGAGAGACCGGCAGCTGAGGTTGGCGGTAGAGAATGCACAACAAGAGGACACGGCACGGCAAGACGACCCTTATAGTTCCCAGAAACGAAGGATGGAAAACGGCTGTATCCTGCCATGAACAAATATAAAGCGGACTTGGCATGTTGCTGTCGGCATCTCGAATCCCTGGCGCGTCTCAATCCAAGGCGGAGCCGGTCCGGAGCCGTGCAGAGGTTGGACGTCGCTGAGAGCCAAGACAAAGCACTGACTGTCAGTTGGACGGCTCTAATCGCGTGACGACACGAGTTCGGCGCTGTTAATCTAATCCAGGTCGGAGAGGCTCCCTCCTGGGGCGCGGGGGTTCCCTTCAGGCGCGCAGGGACGAGGCATGGTTACAGCGGCGGAACTTTGTAACTGACAGGGTGCGGCATATCGAAGTTCGAGACTCGACTTCGTAGACTGGTACGCGGGGCGAATGATGACGAGTGGCCGCTCTCCTTCCAAGATCGGCTTCCATTTTATCCGAACATATTAGGGCCCCAGCTGGCCAGGCGTCTCAGCGGGCATATTCCGAGGGCTAAATGGCCATGATATATTAAGAGCAGCTATAACATAGCCTTCCGGAGCCGCACAACCAAACTAGGAACGGTGTTCACATGGGATGGGTCTTGCTATGCAAGTAGTCGTTAGGAGGACGGGTAGTGGGCGATTTGAGGTCGAATGACGTTAAAAATGTTTCCTCCAGCTTGGTGTCTTCGAATGCCGGAACCCGCTTTCCAGAAGGTCAACTTCTGACGAATCATGGCCGATACCAAGCTCTTCTGCAATACTAATAACATCAACTCTCACAGGTCGAAGCCAAACCGACCTACCTTGTGCTGTCTTAGGCAGCGTTATCCGGGTCCTGGGTACCACGACAACCTCTCGACATACTGTATTGTTCTGACCCTGAGTTGGTGCTTTAATATCTTTCATTGTCAATCTCCAAGGTTTCAGCTTTTTATAGAACGGACGAAGGGCTCCTGGGGTATGGTAAACGACTTCTAGAATTTCCCTTTTCCAGGGATTGCACCATGATCCATCTGCACGTTTCTTGCAGTTCCACATTCCAGGTTCGCATCCCCTGGCTAGGCAATTGATAACAGCAACATATTTCGTGGGTTAAGGGAGACGGCGCCTTTTTTGGTAGGCAGATTGAGTCTTCCTCCGTTCAAATCGGCTTCCCTTGTTGTCAAATAGGTAGTCGTTGCGTTGTTGAGACCAGACCAAGTCCTGCTTAATCCATGGTTTGATCCAAACTCGGAACACACATGTAGTTCCGAAGGCGGGTTGGGGGATTGGGTGTATTAATATCTCCGCAGCAAGGTGCACCTGGCTCACTACACGTCCAACCTCATACCCCTGAAACCGTTCTTGCTGGCTACCGTGTTTCCAGACCGAGAAACCGCTTTGTTCATTTTCTTGAAGGTACTAGAGTTGCTGACCTGGTCTCGTAAAAGAACTGAAAATATCTCTGTCATGGTGTTTGTAACTCAGGCTGCTAGTTGATTATATCCAAACGTCTTCCAGAACAGTGATGATCTCGCTTTACCATGCATGGCCCACGGACAGGACAGTCCCAGAAATCCCTCAACAGGGAGGGAAGAATGTTCGTGCTTATTCCATGGGAGTTCCATTTGTTATGGCATACCACAGCCAGGTTTTGATCAGACCCACCACTCACCAGGAATCACGTCTCAAGTGCTCTCAGTCTCTGGCTCATCCCACAAGCTCGCCAGTAACTTCCTCTCCCCCGTCCACGGCTCCCTCGCATGCTGCACAGCATGATTCTGTAAATGGTTACGTTAGTCGGGCCCCGGGACGATCTCCTACTAGTAAATGCAGCCACTTACATCGATCAGAATGACGTCTCCTCTTTTCCATGTCACCAACGCCCTTGTCTGGCCGATGAACTCGACCGCCGAATCAAGGTACTCCCGGGGGATCAGGGACCCATCGCCATACTACAAAGCGAACAACAGAAGTATCAGCATCCCGTTTTTTATCCCCTCAAAAATGAACAAGATTGGAGCAGCAGTAGAAACTTACAAAGCAGGGAGGCAAATACTCCCCTTCAGAGCTCACATGCGGCGGCAACAACGTGCCATTCCTCAGCGCATTCAGGAACCGCGAGACGACATTGTTGAAGAATGCAGGTTGGCCGGTTCGAGGGTGGTTTCTGATTGCTGTTTTATCCCTTGGTCAGTTCCATGCTGTGATTCCAAATAGCTACAGTTTGACAGGTGGCGCATTGAACAGCAAAACATACCAGGAAGAACCTGCCAGACCCTCAGGTCTCCTAGCGGATTGGCCTCTGACTGGTTCAGCCACTCCCATGTTGCCGTCGGCAGGCGACGGATTTCGGTTTCAATCTTAGCTCGTGCGGTTTTCGTATCGTCTGAGTCGAGCACGTGCTGGCCGTATGCCTGTAGCACTGTGGTGCCGGCCGAGGAGGTCTGGTCTCGCGGGCCGTTGGGGTGGAAGAGTTGGTATTTGACACCCTGGCCGCCGTTCAGTACCGTAATCACGGACTCCGATAGGAATTTTTTATTTTCTTGCCTTCTCCTCAAGCTCCCTGATAAACTCGGGATGCTTCTTCTTCAGGTGCTCGAGCAGAACGACCGAGTTATTTATCGGCGTCTCGCCCCCTAGGCTGTGTGTTAATCAACTGACTCGGAATTCAATAAAATACCCATCGAATAAGCATCTTACCTGTCTCAGGCGGCGAAACGCAGTAGAAAAAAACATAAGCAGGATAATGCGGGCTTAGACCAAACTCATTATGCGGATACACCGGCATGGTGTTTGGTCCCTCGTTCGCAGTGGCCACATTTGGCGCCAGAACTGTCCGGCGGACAGGATTCCCGATATCCTCATGGGGAACGTAGCCAAAGGCATGAGCGAACTTTGAGAATTCGAGCGGGTTCTCAAGCGCGAGATCCTGGAAGTAGATGGCTCCGTGTTGGTCGAGGAGGCTTCGTATCCGACCGGACGCAGTGAGATTGTGGATTTCGGTGACAATATCATCAATTGAGAACTCGACCCGAGAAACCTTCAAAGACAGCGGAAAGGTCGTGTTCTTCGGATATGGGGCCGGGAGGTCGATGGAGGGGCCGTATTGAGCCGGACGGAGGACTTCAACGGATACCATGCTGAATTCTTAAGTGATGAAGAGGACTTTGGACTCTTCGAGTTGCGTTTACACCACTGGCCGGGTCCCAAGACAGGCTTTTGCTCCCCAATCTGTTGCCGAGATGCGCGTTTGAAGACTTCCAAGACACATGCTCCTCGCGTTTCAATGTTAATAACCATCACTCCTGCTTTTATGTTCTCCCACTGGCACGTCTTATTCCTGTCTTGCGTGCTCACATTGTCAGCCGCGCACACCTCTCTCTTACTATCCATACTTCTTTTCATACCGTCAATGGCGCAAACCCATCCCTGCCATGACGTTCCGATCCGTCGGTAACCGCCCCCACGCCGGAACAAGGATCGCGGCCGGCGACGGTTACCATTCCCGGAGAGACGTCCGAGACCAGACTCCAAGCGCGCAAGGACGCATTGCCAGCCGGTGCCCTTGAAGACCGACAGATTCTCAAAACGACATGACCCGACGTGCGACTCAGAATCTCACCATCGCGAAAATCCATCACGACATCTGCCGCTATGCCAAACGGAACCGGTCCGCCCCACATCGGGCCATGACGTCTCTGCATCACAGGCTCGACGTGTGGGGCCAGGGTCGATACCGGTTGGATGACATCGGGCTGGATACCAATCATGAAGAACTCTGTGTGTTGGGCTACGTGCAGGATTTGACGGACCGACAGACATAAATAAGAAGGGGGAATTCCGAATGTTTGGAAGCGACGGCACATCTTCATCCCAGCCATCCCACGTGGCAGACAAACTCAGACAACATGTCGGCGGCCAATGACAAGAGGATCGAGAATAGCAACGCCCTGGAGCTTGCCGGGGGGTCAGACGAGCAGACCAGGCCTGCCTCTCGCCTCACGAGGTGGTACCGCAGCCCCCTATTCAACGTCATTCTCGTCGGACTCATCTCCTTCACCCAACCAGGCATCTGGAACGCCCTGAACAACACCGGCGCGGGCGGTCAGCAAGAGCCGTACCTGGTAAATGGGTCGAATTCCCTGACTTTTGGGCAGGTTACCCGTTTTCTGCTATGAAAGCCGCCTGATGACTGACTGGACTGGACAGGATCATGGTGTTTGGCTGCACCATCTTTGGAATAGTGGCCAACAGGATAGGCGTCAAGAAGGTCTTGATCATCGGCACGCTTGGATATGCCCCGTACTCGGCATCCTTGTATGTCAACAACCGCTACGGCACCGAGTGGTTCGTCCTCTTTGGCGGAGCGACCTGCGGCATTGCCGCCTCTGCTTTGTGGGCGTCCGAAGGTGCCATCGCGCTGGGATACGGGGATGTCAAGGACCGTGGCAAGTTCAGTGAGTTGTCTCTTTTACTCCTATCAGAACTTGCAGCATCGTAACTGACGGCCATCCCATCTAGCCGGCATCTGGCTCGGTCTCCGCGAGCTCGGCCAGCTCATTGGGTCCTCCATTCAACTCTCCCTGAACGTCAGTACCAGCAGCCGAGGCAAGGTCGGCTACACTACGTACTTGGTCCTCATTGCGCTGCAATGTCTGGGGCTTCCGCTCGCCCTCCTCGTCTCGCCGCCGGAAAAGGTCATCCACAGCGACGGCCGGCGTGGCCGTGTCGTGGCCAAGGATACTACCATCAAAGCTGAGCTGAGCAAGACATGGAAGCTGATAAAGAGGAAGCAAATGTTCTTGCTCATCCCTATCCTGGTTGGCTTCAACTTTAACGGTACCTACCTAGGCATTTACATGACCAAGTAGTAAGTTTCATCCCAGGGGCCAACAAGCAGACTGAACCATGGTTTACTGACTCGGGCAACCTAGCTTCTCGGTCCGGGCTCGAACCCTCGGATCGCTTGTTTCAGGCATCGCTGCCACCTTTGCTAATATATTCTGGGGCTGGTTCTACGACCTCAAGTACTTCAGCCGCCCAACTCTGGCCAAAATCTGCTGGCTTTTTTTCGTTATCACCATGCTGGCATCTTTTGGCTGGCAGGTATCCAATGAGAAACTTTACGGCGACTCCAACCCTAGAGTCACGCTTGACTGGGAGAACCCGGGCTTTGGTCGGGGTTTCGCGTCTATGGTGTTCTTGCGGTAAGTCCGGTCTTGCCTTCTTGGTCTTCTGCTCTCCCTTCAAGTTCTCTTCTGCCAGCCCGTCTTCCCCCTTGCTTCACCTCCTTGTTTTCAGGATCCCGCCGGGGTCAGTGGACAACACATGCTGATTTCCACCGTGACAGGTTCCTGAACGAGTCGCACTACATGTTCGTTTACTGGATCGTGGGCGCCTTCTTCGACGACATCGAAACCCTGACACTGGCCGTCAGTCTCGTGCGAACCTTCGAGTCCGTGGGCTCCAGCGTCTCATTTGGCATCGGCGCGGCTGCCGTGTCGCCAATGATCAACCTGATCATCTCGTTTGTCATGTTCGGCCTCACCATTCCCGCCACATCGGCGGTAGTGTTCATGGTTCCTGAGCGTCCGGTCGATCTGCGGAAGGATGTTGATGGATCGTCGTCTGGGGAGGAATCTGAGGTTGCTGATGGGAGCGGGGTGTTTGCGAAGGCGGCAGAGTCATCGGGCCCTTTGAAGGGTTGAAAATTGTTGAAGTTCGTCAACAATGGGAGAGCGAAGATGGCAACCTCCACCATCTTACTTATGCCGCCGTTCTGATGTCATGTCAGAGAAACCCGGATTTAGGTAATCGAGGTGAGGTAGTCTAGTACCTCAATTAGACGTCATTGCCATGGACCTTTCGTCCCGGCCTCTGTTCACATCGCGGGGAATGGAATCCAGAGGAAGGAAAATCAGATCGGCAGGTTTGAATCCACTAATAAAAACTGCAACTGATTGATACCTGGACACGCTTCCCTTGCAGTGGGTTTTCAACTAGGGCGGCAGCGATTCCCGGGCTTCTTTCCCCCAAGCCAGTGAAACCACTGACTTCTCACATCCTCATTCGCCCACATCCTACCTGTCACTCTTGCGTGCGTTTTTCGGACTGGAAGCGACATTATAAATCAAAACAACGCAGTCAACAGTGGCCTCGCTCAGGCAATATCGGTTCTGAGACGAAAAACTCTTATCAACCTACGAACTGCATATTGCGGCAGCGGCTGGTTTCCGTTGTCTCAAACATTGGGTACCGTACCTGAAATATCTTATCTGGTACTGTACATGACAGTTCCTGTCCGCTGACGCATTCAGTCTCCTGCAGTCCCTTCTTCATTGAAGCTATATCCAAGTAAGCCCGCTTTTGCCTCGACAACGCAGCCTGCGACATGTCGGAACTCGAAGGCTTTCGACTCGTCTCACGGCGCCTATCCCCCATAGGGGGCGAGAATCTCTGGGGGCACCTTTCTCTCATAGGGGGCGAGACTCTCTGGAGACCTCTTCAACGTGGGGCTGCCGACAAGCTTGTGAATCTCCTTGCAGTCCCAGTCCGGCCACCGAATTCCGCTACCCTCGACAGGCCCTCATCCACCAAGGCACATAAGGTACTCAACTCTACTGAAGCCCACAACGCACGTTTACCGTGAAATCTCGGCTGACAGCGTGTTTCAGTGTTTCCCAGCCGACGAGCATGCGACGCTCTCGACTGATTACGAACCTGCTGAAGTGCCCGGCGGCCGCTATGCCGAGAATTCGACTAGCGGCAACCATTCCCTCACAATATTCCACCTTTCGCCAGAACTCCATCGGGTCATCTTTGACCACATCGACCTCATTGATGACGTTGTTTGCTTTGGTCTTACCAGTCGACACTTTTGGTCCATAGCTCGACTCTATCTGCACGCTCATAACGAGTCGTTCCTAGGACAATGGGCGGGTTCGAGCATTGTCTGCGCCGGGCCAAACACTCAACCGGATGATTTTCCTCCCGGTATGTTCTCGGCCGAAGAGTTGGACCGTTTGCGTCAAAAGTGGGCGAGCGCACACCGCAACAATGATGACAGTGGAAATGGGTCGACCGATGAGCCATTCAACCTTTTCACCGTTTCCGCACTCTTCAAAAGGCGAACTCTCTGCGACGTAATGCACGAGTCAAGTCTTGTGTTCGAGCGTTGCATGGACCGGGGCGGAGGTTCGCATTATGATCCTGCATTCTGGGCTACACTGCCGGAGCTGATCGTCAAGGAGTCGACGTACTTCCCTCAAGACGAGCCCTGGGTCCTCCGAAACCTGACAACGAGGGAGTTCGTTCGTTCGAGAGACCTGGGAGTGACACAGAACCCTTTCGGCGGGCCCGAAATGCTTGACTGTAGCTTCGGCACGATTGTCTTGTCACGCATCTGGTGGTCAAGCGATGATGAGCATGTCAGTTTTCCGAATTGTCCGAGAGGGGCATGGGCAGGCCACCGGCTCGACATCACCACTCTAACAAAACACCAAGACACAACTAACGCGGCTGAGTGGAGCGATATTAGCAAGGAGGTTGAAAGGGAATATGTTGCTGTGTGGAAGAGTAAGTACGGGGCCCGTGCCGACGATCGGCGTCGTCAACGGCTGCTGGAGTACGCAAAGGGCTCGAGAAGTCCTATACTTGAACGTCCGAAAGCACGCCACACATCCTTCTACTCTCAGTGAGAGGGACATAGTCCATGGAGCAGCCCTGCTACCAGCCGGCCGCGAGTCTCGGATAATGAGTCCAAGGTCAAGTAAATATACACAACAGGGACCTAATTTAGATAGTTACTGTATTATGATACGTCCGTCCTGTCCACAATAGCGCGCCGAAAGCCGTGGGGTTGCTGAAGGCATGAATGGTCCCGGTCCCCGGACCGCGAAAACTGGCTTTCGAGCGGTCGGCCCCGATTCAACTTTTCACCCCGAGCCGGACGAGAGTGGCGGACATGAAGCGCCGAATCACTTTGCGGGTGAGTCCGTTACAGGTAGACGAAGCTCTACGAGAATCGTTCGTTCTCTGTCAACCGCTGGGCTGGTTGGACCGGCAAAGCGATTAGTTTTTGCGATGAGAGATAAACATTTCTCCATTGAAGAGATGGTAGCAAGACTTGTCAGCTAAACAATAGCCGACGAGACTTCCGTTCTTCCGTTTCCGCGGTGTGGGGCGAGCAATTTCTCGCAACTGTCCGATATCAGGCCATTCACTCTTGCCTAGTTTGGCAAATGAAACGTTGGCGACTCTGAAGCCCGGCTGGCACGGGCCACATCCGCTCACGGGTGCCAAGTTTCTTCGCCGTTTCCAGAGGGGTCTTGCAGAAAACTTGAAGCCTGGAGGCTTGAGTCGAGCCAGGAACCATGCCATCGGCCTATCGGCATCGAGACCTTGTGCATCCGAAGCCCCGGCATGTTCTCATAGGTACGGTCAAGGGCTGGTCAAGGCCGAGGTGTCGGCGTGCAAATACAATACATACGTCTCTAAACATCATTTCTGTTTCATGTCTGTAGGTTCTTCTTCCATTCCTCAGCATTGACACTCGAGTAGAATGAACAAACGTCAGAGGCGGTTGTGAATCCGTTCCCAATTCCAGCTATCCACCGTTTGCGTGTATGGAATTTTTGCATTGCCGCACCCTGAAATGACGCCCTGAGAAACACGGTACGCGCAAGTCCTCCGTATGCTCCCAGGTTGAGGACGTTCAGGCTGTGGCGGGCGGCTCCGGTCACGCCTGCAGCAGAGGCACCTACTCAGCGAGCGGCTGTGCTCTGTGGGGCTTCCATCGGCGTGGGTCTCGACCTCGAAATCGACCCGGGTCGATTCTCGTACGACTCGAAAACAAATCGTCTGTTTGCAACACTTTTGACAGCCTTCCACCCGCCGTTTGTGACACCGCCGAGAATGGGATCTCAAGATGGCTACCGAAGGACTCCGACGAGGGGCCGAAACGATGTCCAAAGGCAGGCACTTTATCACTTTATTAGAGCTCGGAGTCCGCTGTCTCCCATCAGATCAACCGTCAGGGGCTTCTGGTTCTCGCAAGCAAACGTAGATAGATCATCCATCCTGACAGACAGCACACTCAAACAGTCGTCCCACCACCAGTTCGAGCCTTGAACTCAGACATCAACATCGCCGTTGTCCCTCGGTCAAACCACTGCCAGCTATCAGCGAGCCGCCAATGATGTCTGGCACAACAATAGACTCGTCGTTGATGACATTCGATCCATGCGCGACATCCTTCGACAATTCAAAGCTGGTTAGTTCCCATCCATGTCTTTTACTGTTTCCCAGTTAGCGAGTGCCGTCTGTGCCCCCTTCCCCCTCTTTCCCCCAACTCCTCCCCCCCATTATTGTCCTTGGTAATCATGCAATGGCCTATCTCTGCTCGGCTTACGCCGTTGACGGGGTCTGGGTCTACACTTTTGGAAATTGCTGCAGTTCTAATTGCTCTGGGCATCAGCGCTGATCTTGTCACAGCAAGCATATTACGACGTCTCTCCAGCGTTCATCTTCGACACAGAAGATTTCAGCGCAGATTTCACATCTGACTCGGCGGCATCCCCCCTCTCGCCATTGTCACCCGCGCTCTCAGCCACCTCCTTGGGTTTCTCGACGACAGAAGCCTGGGCAGCCTGGGACGCAGTGGAGCTGTCCCCTGAGTTCGACCATCTCTTTGGGTGCCAGACTTTTGCCTCGCGCTCCCCATCAAACCCCTCCCTGAGCCCGGCGATCAACCCAATCGACCTCACCGCTCCGGCGCCAGCCGACTTTCTCCCTGAACCACCTCAAGTCATGCCACGGTTGGTCACCACGCCCAGCCAACAACACCAGGATTCCATCCGAACGACAGCCGCTGATCCCACTCTATCCACCACAGCCCCCACAAACGATGCTGCCGCCGAGCGATACCCGTCCCGCATTCTCAAGCGCAAATTCAGCAGCGGCCTATCCAAGGAGGAGCCCGGCCCCAAATCAACAGCAACCGTCCCCGTGCAGCGTCCGTCCACATCCAAACAGAAGGTCCGCCAGGCCATTGCCCTCGGCCCAAAGAAGTCGGCGCACAACATGATCGAGAAGCGCTACCGCACCAACCTCAACGACAAGATCACGCAGCTGCGCGACGCCGTGCCCTCGCTCCGACTACTCGCGCAACGCGCCAAGAACGCTGCCGAGGGAGGAAGTGCGACCAGAGCCGAACTCGAGGACGACGACGACGACGCGGCCGCCGTCGCCGAGGACGGGGGGTTGATAAGAGAGACTACATGTAGTACGAGCGGGTTGAAGCTGAACAAGGCAACTATCCTGAGCAAGGCGACCGAGTACATCCGCCAGCTGGAGCGGAGGAATCAGGGGTTGGAGGCGGAGAATGGCGCGTTGAGGGGGCGGATGGAGGGGTTGGAGATGATTTTGATGAGCCACGGGGGCGTGCTTGGGGGGTGGAATTAGGATGAGGTGTACTACAAGACTTTTCTTTTGCCTTTAGTTTGGGCGGGTGGGTTGATTACCTTACGCAGGGCGTTCAGGGTGTACCACTGGATTCTGCTGTAGGTCATGGCGATACCTGTGGGATTGCGATGTAATACGGGAGTCAAGGAGAAGGAGGTAACGGGGTTCTGTTTGATGCGTCTTAATTATTGCTACTGGCGAGCATCGAGAATAATACCCAGCTCTAAAAAGGTTCGGAGACTTTTTTCCTCAGTTGACTCTCCCACTTCCCGCAAGTCAAGTCACCGAGTACCGTACTCGGAAACCCGCGGCTATTCATTAACCGTGTTGGTCTCGACATACTGCAAGAGCCTGTCCTCGTCGTTTGTGTGTGGCTCCAGTCTCCTGTAGTGGCTCGGAGACTGGACTGAGATAGCACCGCGGCGATGGGTCGGTGGTTACCATATCCGCCGAGGCTCGTCATTTACACCTGTATTCTTGTCGTTGCCTGGCATTGTGCCATTGGCAGGTTGATGTGTTGGTTTGTCCATAAGCTTTGTTAGATGTGTGATTTGCTTTGGATAATTGATGCTCTGATCCGCGAAACCCAGTTGACTGGACGGAGAGACGGGATGGCACATGTCATAGTTACCTTAGTAAATAGATCGAATACGACGAGCAGTGGAACATATAACACTCAGAAAAGACTTGTGGCACACACCCCTTGTGTCATAGACGCCTTTGTTTGAAGGCCACGTCCCTTATGCTACATGCGAGTTGGTGCCAGGTACGAGCTAGTCACCATGCTGCCCACTCTGAGCTCCCGGTCGGGAGCTTGAAGGATACTACTGTCGCGCCGCTTCCTCTGGTTGTCCAACGAGATGCTCTTTGGAGGTTGTAAGACGCTCTGAGTCCGGCGTGAAGGGGAAATCCGGCGGTCGAGTCTCGAACCGTCAACGAGCCTGGCATGTAGCTCGAGCTCGGAAACGTATGACCCCTACTATACCTCGATGCTTCCCGGCCAGTAGGTCGGCTGCGGGCGGGTGAGCGAGCGCGTCGCGAGTCCCTCCTGTGGTTTTGTTTGGACGTGGAAGGGCGACGCAGGTATTCCGGGGTCGGGGGCCTGGGAGGCAGGGTACCGAACTCTTTGACCCAAAGCTCATCGGTTCTTCGTTAGATATCCGCCAGCTCTCTGCGCATCTCTAGAGGCCACCGCGAGGGCATCTCTACCTTTGCTTCTAATTTTTCTATTAGTGCCGGTAGTGTCAAGTCGTGAGATCGTCTGTCCTGGCAGGATACTGATAGTGATGCCAAGAGGCAAGGACTTGGATACTGTCAGGCAGAGCTTCAATATTGGCAGAGCTGTTACCAAACTTATTCCGCAACATGTGTCAGTAATGGTGCACGTGTCTTTGGGGTTAATGGACATGGTTCCAAGGTGACCAACCAGCAAAGACTGAGTGACTGAGACAGCAATCATGCGTGACAACATTCAAAGCCATCCATTCGAGCGTATATTGCCTGACTCAACAGACAGCTACCCGACGTGCAATAACAAAGAACTTGGACTGGACTTGGAACAGCTCAGGAGTCAGGAGTCACAAAGGTAAAACACATGAATTGTGGAATTCGGAACTGGGAGCCTTCGTTTCCTCGGCGGAAAATTGTAAGGCAGTCAGCTCGATTCATGAAGGCAGATTTAATTGGTATGTGGGCGGTTGGTTACACACTTGAACCAACGATGGCCGTAAAGAAAGCGGCACGGTCACCCGCCATTGTTCGGGGCGATGGCTTGCTATAGGATTGGTCCCTTTGAATACAGGAGAACATGAGTTAACGTTATGCTTGTAACATTGTGTACTCCCTCGGGCAGAGTCCCGCCACCCGCCTCCATACATCAGCCCGATGCTTAGTGAGTACCTAATGAACGAGCAGTGATAGTGTTCAATGTTGGCGATGGAAAGCTCAATGGATGATTTTGAGGTTCGTATGCCTAAGGTAGCCAGAGTACTAGTAGCCTCCCAAACGCGAGTCGTTCTGCTTCATTTACGACTCTCTCAGTGGCCAGCTGCCAAAGTCTTACCTGCGGTCAACGTAGGGAAACTTAACGCCTCCTATTGCCTCCCGATATGAGACAGTTTACCAGAGAGCCCGCGGCCGTAGGTTTCATGTCAATATAACTCTGGCACGTCACCTCGAAACTTCTGTTGGGCCCCAGTTCCAACTTCGGGGGCTACCATCGCTTCACCCTCGACATAACATCCAACATTGTCCGAGACGGCGCTAACCAGTTGTAAGTATCGTCGGTTCCGGCTTATTCCACCTGGATGGTTTCGCTGGGGTCTGCGCAGATGTGATAGGTGTTGTGTAAGTGTCGGTGTAAGAGTAGTCAGTCGGACTCCGACGCACTCTGCTTGAGGAGAAAGAGTTCGAGTATTCCCGGTTTCTGTGGTGGCTACCGCTGCTGGCTCCATGAGAACGTCTGCGAGAGGAAGTGCTGGCGGTATCCTTCCTGTGTGAGCGACTGCTGCGGGAGGCCTGATGGGGATAACCAGATTAAAAAGTCCTCTGGCTGCTACTCTCCCTGTAGTGGTTGGTGGGATTTGTGTAGGATGCCGATGGAAAATGGTGATGGTGGCCGAAAGCCCAAGCCGATGGGTAAATGACCTCCTCAGTTTCGTCGCAGTCAATGCTTGGGGATCGCCTAGCATACAGATCATACGGGTATATGTATAGAATGATATCCCAGCCAGGAGCGCAAGCCGTTGCCTCGCTCGCTTCGGCTGTTGAGGGAGTTGTCCATTGGGAAGAGTAAGACGGCTCATCGTAGCCATAAGCAGGTAAACCGGGACATGCCGACGAAGCCGACGTGTAATTGGAATATAAGTCTCCGTCATGGGTGTCATAGCTTGATGTTGTCCACTCTGCGGAACTGTTGCGGCCGGTTGAACGAGAGATCCTCAAGTCCCACCCATGGTTCCGGCTGGCCCTGGGAGGGCGGTCCCGTCTATGTCTTCTTGATTCTGAATTTGGCATTGCTGCTTTGGCTGTGACTGTCCGGATTTCCTGTTGTGATGAGATTTCGAGTATTGACTTCCACTGCTTTGGCAAACATCGCCTGGCAGTAGGGCGTTAAGTCTGATTTTATAGAGCTGCATCCCTCTTCCTAATGCTTTGCGAGGATCCATTCTCTCAACTCAGGTTTGCGGACAATAACACAGACCAGGAAAGCCATGAGCTACCCAGTACGAAGGGCAAGATGGGTGATTTCAGTTCCAGTGTGAGATGTTGTTCATTGAAGTGCCATATGGGCTTCAAGCTCCCATGTCGGCAAACAAAGCAATTCAAACACCTGCCCGGGTCACTTCCTCTTGTAGAAGCACGCTTTGATCATTTTTACTCTCTACTTTGATTTGCAATTTGATTGAGTTTGTTGCATGTGGAAGTGTTTCTCATCTACCATTTGGACATCTACAGTGAATAGATAAGGCCAAGGGCTAGGACAACGCTGAGGAGTCCAAAGGGCAGGTCATGGTCACGGTTCATCCCAACACAATGTGCACAACAAGCCTCGTGTGCTACAACACTGGACGTCATGAGAATCGGAAACCGAAGAACCATGCCAATGCCTGCTTTGTACTTGGCCCCCCACGACAGTGTCATCAACATCAATTAGCCCTCTTTCAACTCTAGAACCCTGATGATCCGTCGAGAACATGAAAGCCGAAATCCAACATGAAGACGCCTCTGGCTCCTGGACAGTCCCAACTCCTCAACGCCGCACCCCGAGCAGCCTGGGCCACCAACCCTACTTGTTCTTCCAAACGCCTAATTCAACAAATGATCAATCTTCAAACCCCAAGGCTCAATCCTGCTGATATTTGGTATTCGGCTTTCACAGCAAGCCAAATATCGAAAAACTTCCCCAAACAGCGTCACAACCCTACGCACTGATATTGAACCGCGCCGCTCTCGTCAGCTATGCAACAGGAACTTTCGCGTTCTCCTTTGCCGAAAGATGGGCGGCGAGACAGCTCGGGTCCACGGCTGCAATCGGCTCTTATCCACTTTGCCGACCCGTCAAAGAAGATGTTCGAGAAGAAGCCGTTTGTCATGTTGGTCCGCGTCGTCTGTCTTCGCATGTGGCTGTCTCGTCAAGGTGAAGGGGCCATCGAGGGGGGAAGGTCCGCTTAGGCATTGGCTCGGCCAAGGCTGGTTCAGTGTAGGAAGGTAATGATGCGGGTGATGGGAGGAATTCGTGGCCTAGAAACCAGAACCCCTTCTCTGCCCCCGCGATGGAAGGAGGCGAGGAGAGAATCTGCGCAGAGGCAGGTTCTCTGTTCGCAGGATGCGTATAGGCTTCTCGATGTCGGGGTCGAAATCATCATCGCTGGCAGAAGCAAAAGGCGACTCCCAGTCGTCGACTTGGCCGCGCCACACTTCACAGAGCGAAGTGGCAACAGACCGGTGACCTTGATTAATGTTCGACATGCTGTCACGGCTAGCCACGGTATATGGGCGGAGCCGATGAGGAGGTGGTATCCGGTGTTCGTGCTCGTCTCTGCGCCGGGCCTGTATGAGCCGGGCCTGTAGTTGAGGCATCTCCTGGCGAGGTGACTCTCCACGCTCGGGCCCTCCCCCCCGGGAAGAGTGAGCTGGTGAGTGAGTTGGACGATGATGGGCACCATACGTGCTGTCGTTGTTCAACTTTTCCTCTTCGATGTCCTCGCCGGTGTCGTACTCCTGATCACGGCGCCTGAGCCGTTTGTGGCGTTGGTGAGAACCGAGATGTAGTGGCCAGGAGGATGAGTATTCCATGTTCGGTTGCGAGTCCCAAATACCTGTCGGATTTGACCTCCGAGCAATAGCGGACACCAGCTCCGAGTAGTGTTCCTGATGTGAACGGCGCAGGATCGGGATCCGACTCCCAGGCCTGGATTGGGTATTCAGAAAATCAGACTCAGCTGGTCCGTCTGGGAATTCCTGTCAACTCTGTGGAGCGGAGTTAGGGTCTAGAGGGTGATGTGAGGTACCTTCACGTATCTCTGGAGGATCAAAGCGGCGTCTGTATTGTCCGGAATGTTGAGAAGAGTCCACGGAACGCCGGCGAGGTGGCCACCGCGAAAGACGCTTCCCTGCTGGAGATCTGCCCGGAGAACCCTTGGACAGGGAGAGATGCTCCGAGTCCAATACGCGATTTGCAATGAAGGCAGAAAAACGCGAGATCCTGTGCTCCTTTAAGAGGATCGCCGGTCTTGGAGCATCATGTGGGTACTCCTCAATATAAGGGGTCTGGCTCCTGCCAGTCTTGATGTGGCAGAGGTGGTCCTTGACTCCACAGTTCGACATGGACTCAACCTCTGGTTGTGACAGCCGAGTTCTATGTGGAAGTCTGCCGTGGTCCTCTCCGACTCCTGTGTCTGTGTCCTCGGAAACGGTGATTTCGGCGTCTCCCTCGGCTCCGACTGCTCCACAAGCGCGGCTGGCGACGCTTCGATGTTTACCTTTGGGTCCTTTCCTCCTCAAGATTTCGCTTTTGGTGGCTTTTCTCTCGGCAGTTTTCCGCTGCTCGTAGACATAGTCGACCCCCTCACTGTCACCTGAGTCGTAGTCAGTGGTAGTGGTAGTACTTAGGTCGTCGCGGATGTCCATGATGCCTGATCTTCTCTTTGTGGCACAGCTGCGACATCTTGAGGGAGAAGGAATATAGTCTTAGACATTGGGCAGAAAAAGAAGGCCGTCAGAAAAGAAGGTCGTCAGAAAAGAAGGTCGTCAGAAAAGAAGGTCGTCAGAAAA